GAAATCTTTGTTCCCTAAAGCTAACAGAAAAAATGTATTTCCCTGACATCAGAGAAAGGGGACTGTAAAAGTGTGGCAATGTTTTATTGCGGCAGGCTGAAACCATCTCGTCAATGCTGTCAATGAAAGGGTATTTATTCTTTGCCTGTTGTTGAGAAACACTACAGTCTCTAAAAGACTTGAACATATAGATTTCTTGAGAAATTAATCCTATGGGACGATTAAATATCGACTGCCTATATGCACAGTTATGTTTATAAAAAATAAACACATCCTTAGTCCATTGTACTTGGTCTATAGATTTCAACCATAAATTTCTTCATTGACTCTGTCCTGGTTTCAGCTGGGACGGAGTTAACTTTCCTCCCAGCAGCGGCCCCAGCGCGGGGGTCTGGGTTTCGGAGGAGCAGAATGTTGGTCACTCCCCAATGGCTCCGTTGGTGCTGAGCAGGGCTTACACCAGGCAAGGACTTTTCAGCTTCCCCTGCTCTGCCAGGGGCACAAGGAGCTGGGAGGGGGCACGGCCAGGACAGCCGACCCCAACTGGCCCCAGGGCTATTCCAGACCATGGGGCCTCAGGCCCAGTATAGAAACTGGGGGGCTGGCTCGGGGGGAAGTGATCACTGCTTGGGGACGTACTCTGAGCAAAAGTGCCCTGAGTGAGTCTGGAGCCGGTTACGAGGCAGGAGATGTTTGCTGGGGGAGCACGTGGCCACCCCTCCGGCGGGCAGGACCTGATCCGCTGCCGGCTGCCAGCACTCAGCCTCCCGTCACCAGGAGATGAGGGGTAGGGAAACGGCGGCTACACGATAAACCTCTTCTTCCCCTCTTCTCTGCCTGGAAAACAGAGTATCTAAAGCACATTTAACAGTGGGCTCAATCTTTTCCAATTAGCTAACTTCTAATCCATAAGAACATCGCAGGCACGGAATCGACTCTCGTCTCGCAGGGTTACATTATCAACCGTTCTGTGTTTGCCCCCACCATTCATTCCACTTATTTTGTGTTCACCACACTGTGCAACTGGTTTTATTTGATACACACAAAAGCATAAAAAAAAATTTTCTTTTTCTTTTTCTCTTTTTTAAGACACTGAAAGTCTCGGAGTCTGTAGCAATGAGGAGCTCCGAGTCCAAAGATGCCGAATGTTATAGACGCGGTTTTTATGGGCTACAGATTGATGGATGAGCGGTTCCGATGCCAGAAAAATCTGTCCGTGATGCAAATTCATGGCCTGGTATTTGAAGAAGAAAAAGCTGGAAACAATTTCAGGCAAGCCAGCATGCGAAAGCGGGAGGCTGGATGCTCCAACAGTTGAGTCCTCTTTCAATAGGAATTGCATCTCAGCTTTAAAGACAGGTAACCCAAGAAAAGAGAGAGGTCGTTTTTATCAGAGTAAAATAAAAACACAGCACAAATATCTGCTAAAAACTTGTTAACTGGAAGAGAAAAGACACTGCCTTCTGCTTTTCCATACAAATGAATGATGGCATAAACATCTTTTAAGATATGAATCGGGACACTTCAATCCATTTGCTAAGCAAACTGTAATTTATGATCTTTGTCCTGGTTTCGGCTGGGGTAGAGTTAATTTTCTTCCTAGTAGCTAGCGTAGTGCTGTGGTTTGGATTTAGTACCAGAAGAATGTTGATAACACACTGATGTTTTCAGCTGTTGCCAAGTAGTGCTCAGACTACTCAAGGACTTT